GTGGTTTAGTGCTTAAATTAGTGGATTAATGTTATATTATTGGTAGAAAATCATAGGAGGTGCTTGGAGCAAAAGTGACCGTTTTACCCGTGCCTTGTCCGATCACTTTTGTGCAAAATTTTGAGATTCTAATGACTTGATTATGTTGTTTACATGTTATTGTGAGTGTGTACAAAATTTCATTGAAAAATAACTTGATTTGGTTGGTCAAATGAGTTGATTTCCAAAGTTAGCAAAACTGGAAAATGAATCCCGTATTGCCCAAGCAGTCATTTTGTATCGGCCATAACTCTTTGCTCCGATGTCGAAATTGAGTGCCGTTGGTGGCATTTAAAACTAGACATTCCCAGATTTCCATTGGTACTAAATGTACATTCTAGTTCCACTTGAGTGAGCCACACCATTCGATTGAAAATCACTATCCTGTTTCGTTTCTCTCCAGGAGACAGGACAGGACTTGTATCTTGATGCTAAAAAACGAGCTGTTTGTGAATGGAATTTGAAAATGATTTCTTCTGAGAAAATTCAGATTTATGAGAGAGGTTTCCAACGCCATTAACTACACCCAATTGCAAGCTGAATTGAGTGAGTTGTGGCCATATTTCGAAACTGATGCAGAGAGTAAAAATCCTCTTTTGACTAGTTAAATAGCCTAGCTTGATTTGGGACTTGTTGTTTTGGAAACTTTGATGTCCAACATCTACCAAACTTGATATTAGATGTTACTTGGACTTTGTTTCACAAATAAACCAGATTCGGGTTGGTTGCTTTGGACAAAATATTTAAAAAGGAAAGAAGAGCTAAAAGACAATTTTACCTTGGGGAAATTTCTTGAACTTTGATGGTTTAGTTAACTACATTCCCGTGTGAATTTTCAAATGAAATTTGATAGAAGAGTAATCCTCATATGGAGGTTTAATTGTCCGAAATTTGGTAATATTCTAAGACCATTTTGATATGCAAATGATGTCACAAAATTCGCTCGTCGAATCTGGAAACTTTTCGTTTTCTCTTAGCCAAATGGTCATATTTGATTTGGGGAGTTTTATTTCGAAAATTTGGATGTCAATGGTCTTTAAATTGCTCAGTGGATGTTTATGAACTCTCGGTTTCCATACTGGAGAGATTTGGAACTGATTTCATGGTACAAAATGTTTGTAAACAAAAGAAAAGTGAGAAGGTAGTTTAGCCTTGAAACTCTTCATAAACTTTGGTTGTTTTAATGACTGCCTTACCGTGAGAGTATTTGTATGAAACTTGGTAGAAATGTTGTTCACACATGGACGATTTAGTGTACCAAGTTTGATGTATTTCCAATGCCAACTCGATGACCAAAGGATACTTCAAATCTAGTCTTCAAACCTGGAAAATAGCCCAACAGTCTTAACTTTTTCAGCAACTTGGGGCTACTATATCTTGGTGCTCGAAACTCCGTTTCTCATTCTGCTTGTTTTGTTATACTCTTGGATTGCAACACTAATTGATTTCCAAATTTCAAAGGTTAGTTCAAAACAAGTGAATTTTGCCGAATTTTCAAAGTTGGCCAAAAACCAACTTAAATCTGTCTTGGTAATTTAAGTTACCAACTTTGAGCCAAAATTTGAGTGCCTTTCATTTACATTCGTGGAAAAGTGTCTTCTAAGAACTTTTAGTACTTTCAAAGAGGTTTCCAATGGTACTAAGCTTTCCAATTTTTGACATATAAAATGTGAGATACGATTTTTCAAAGTATCGTATCAAACCTGAAAATTTTCCGAATTCCAAGGGAAGGGAGTTTTCAAATACTCCTTATTCCTTCGATATTACTCGAACATTTTATACTTGATTTCCAAAAATAAAAACTCGATTGCTCATGTACTTTAAGAAACTCCTCTTGAACCTCGATTTACGAGTAATTGAGATTCATTTTTATAAGATTTCCTTAGATTGTACTAGCGTACCATTTTCCTCGATAATTAGAGATTTGTAATGATTTTGAGTGGTAGTTGATTATTGTTTGCTCAGGCACTCGAGGGAATCTCCAAGAGGAACTCGGAGCAGACACCTAAACGCTTGTTGAGAACCACTCGCTTGTTTTGACTAGGTGAGTGTTCCATATAGGAATACGTATTTGAATAAGTCTAGAACATGTTTATTTCATGATTATTAAGTGCTAAGTATTATGTGTTAAGTATTTACCATACTCGTGCCTATTTAAGGAATGTATACTTGCATTGCATATCTATATGAATTGGTTAAATGATTAACCATATCAAATGACCATATGAACTCGATACATGTTTAACTTGCTAGATTGCTTGCTTAGCCTACTCGGTTTTTTTTTGAAAAATGGAGTCGAGTGTGTACTTTATCGCACTCGTTCTCTTTTGAGATGAATAACTCATGCTTGGAAATACTCGAATAACATGACTTGGTATGCTAAGGTTGCATACGTCGTTGGAGTGAATCTTCTCGACTCTCACATGGTAAAATTGGGATAACGGCCAATGATGGCCTATTAATATGACAAATGCCTGTCAATTAACCGTCACTACTCAACCGTTAACCGTCAACCGTGAACCGTGAGCCGTTAACCGTTAACCGTGAACCGTTTACCAACCCACATGACTACCTGATTACCTGACTATTTGCTCACATGATTTCCAATCTACATGACTATTCGATATCCGTGAATTACATGCTCCCATGAAATCAACTTGTATTGCTTACGTGCTTACGTGCTAAGTATCCACTTGATTACTTGATTATCATGAATCACATGTTATATGAAACTGTCCATCATTGTTAGGCGAGTGTGTACTTTACCTCACTCGACCTACTCAAATGATGAAGTTTACCTTTTGTCGAATTACTTGGTTACCTGTGCATGTTGTAAGCTCTAAGCTGAAATTGGGCCCTGCCCTTGGTTTCTGACCTGCTCGAGTCAGGACTGGGCTCGGTCGGGTAGGTTGGAACCCTGGGCCACCGTTTCGGTATACTCGAGTACTACCACTGGAGGGATAAGGTGATGGCCAGTCAAACCGAGGGGATCCGGAAGTCATAAGGTGCAGATGACCGACAGAGTTCCACTGGAACACCGTATCCTACAGTATATATTTACCTTGTATCATGATAATTGTTTCTTGCTAAGATGCCAACATGAAATCCTGAGCTATGCCTGTAATAAGCTCCAATCACTCGTGAACTATACATGCCAATGTCTTGAACCATGATAACTGTCTCATGATAAATGTCTCATACCATGATAAATGTTTCAAATTACCCGTACAATGATTATCACCTCATGATAACATGCCATTGTATAACCTTGAACCATGCATATGATATGCCCAACCTACTTGATTTATTTGAACTGTTAGAGTGTTTTGGAACCTCACTGGGCTGTGTAGCTCATCCCACGTTGTGGTTTTCTTTTACAGGGTTCCAGACCAAGGGTGCTCGTGAGTAGTACTAGATTGTTTTCTTTTGAAAACTTTAAATTATATTATAACGGATGGCTATTATACCCTTTTCCGTTGGGTTGTATTTAAGTTTGAAAGTTACATAATTGTAAGTGTGAGATATTTGAAGTACTTTAATTATGTATTGTAGTTATTTAAAGTATTTCGAGTTTTGAGTATATGGATTGTACCGAGTCCTGGCGAGAGTTGGGTAGGCGTCCCGCCGATACCCTTGGGTTCGCCCTTGGGGGAAGTGGGGGCGTCACATCTTGTAGAAGCAACCTTTGGATTTTGAATTTTCGATAAATAGCAGCTTTTGAAGAGCATTTTCACAACTTTGGAAAGTTAGAGAAACTACACTAAAAATGTAGTCGTCACTGGTTTTTCTTAGTTTATTAGCTTAGGTAGGTTAATATAGTTTTAGTCTATCTTGTATCATGATAATCAAGGATGATGATTGAGGCTTGAAGATGGAGAAGATGTTGCTCACATGTGATAAGGGGTTCCATCTCTTCAATTCTTTAACTCTTGGATTTGAATCTTATGTTTAGCTATAATACAAGTATGACCTTTTTCTCATTTTTATCATGTTTTGCTAAAGTTTATACCTAGAACTATGGATGAATTTTCTATATTTTATTAGTGATATTTACTTGGTTACTAGATGATATTATTTAAAATAAGTTATTTATCACTTTTACTTTTTAAATCATGACCGGGCATTAATTGTGATAATCTTAAAGTATTAAGTTTGCAATGAGGATTAGAATTTAACACTAGTTTAAGGAGGTAATAAACCTAGAGGGTTCACTTATGAGAGTAGAGGAGCATCTTTATAGTTTTAGTGACTTGTTTCAGGTAATTTTATAAAAGAAATGAGTTTGTAATTAATTTCATAGTAATGAAAGTAGGTATGACTAAACTACAAGTATAGTTGATTCACTATGAGAGTAATTTTCATATACATTAGAAAATTACGCTATAACTAACCAAGTTAATAACATTCACCTAAGATAATTTTATTTGCAAGAGTAGTGAGTTCCATACATCTAGGAACTTTCTATTATTACTTTTACTACTTTTACTTCATATTTATATTATAGATTTAATTTCTTGCACTTATGATAGTCTAAATAATAAGGGAGTTAGAAAAATCTTTCCTATGGGATCGACACCTAATCCCTCTATACTCAATAAATGACTTGTATACTTGTGAAAATTGTGTGTGGAGTATTTAGGATTTTATAAATGTAAAACTTGGGTATGGATGAGCTAATTGATTTATGTATACCCCACGCTCGTCAAAATGGTTCAATAATCTCAATTTAGAGGTAATATTGTAGAGGATCCAAATGCTCACTTAGCCACATTTTTGGAGATATGTGATATCATAAAATGAATGGGGTTAGTGAAGATGCTATTAAGTTGAGGTTGTTCTCATTTTCATTAAGAGATAAAATTAAAATTTGGTTACTCTCTCATGCCCTTAATAATTTCACCACATGGGATGATTTATCCAAAATATTTTTGAACAAATACTTCCTCTCGAGTAAAATGGTTAAGTTTAGAATGGATATAACTAGTTTTAATCAACTAGAGGGTGAATCATTATACGAAACATGGAAAAGCTTTCGAGTGTTGCTACGAAAATGTCCACATTATGGACTTCCAGATTGGCTCACTGTCCAAATTTTTTATAATGATTTATTTTTTTCGACTAAAACTACTATTGATGCAACTGCAAGTGGTACTTTAATAGGTAAATCACCTCAAGAAATTCAAAACTTGATAGAGGAGATGGCGGCAAACAATTACCAATAGGCGAATGAGCGAGGTAACTCAAAAAGATAAGCAGGTACGATTGAAATGGACACTCTCAATATGTTGAGTGTTCAAAAGAATAATGTGGTTAAATTGTTAAATAAACAAGCTAGATGTGGCTCAAATTCTACACCTAATATGAGTGTTGCTCGTTGTCATTTATGTGGAGGAGATCATGATCCTAATGGTTGTGTTGAAAGTGAGCAGGTACAATTTATCAACAATTATAATCGAAATACTCAAAAAAACTCCTACTTCAACACATATAACTCAGGGTGGAAAAATCATCCAAATTTTGGATGGAAGGATCAATGATGTCAACAACGGCCAATTAAAAGTTAGCTAGTGCGATCAATCAAAGATTTGAAAGAATTGAGGGAAGAATGGACCAACTCACCACCATGTATAATAACATAGAGGTTCAGATTGGTTCAATTGCCAACTCTATTAACAATAAGAACTAAGGAGAGTTACCTAGTAAAATCGAAGTTAACCCTAGAGAGCATGTCAATGCTATCACTCCTAGAAGTGATAGAACAATAGAGGGACCTAATTTTGGCAATTCAAGAGGTGAAAATGATAAGGAGGAAGCAAATAAAGGAGTGAAAGGGAGCCAAAATGATCATGTCTGTAGACACCAAATTTTAGCTCAAGTTCATTTACTCTTTGTTTCTTAGTTTTTTGTTTTTGTCATGTTTGTTTTATTCATTTTTAGTTTTTAGTTTTTTTTTAGTTTTCATGTCATTATTTTATTTTTAAGCTTTTAGGATGGAATTTCTCAAAAGAAAAAGAAAACAATGGAAAAATCATGAAAAAAGAGAAAAAGGGAAAATTGGTCACAAAAATACGTTCAAATTCAATCTTTTGGCACTTTAGTTATTTTTATTAAGTTATTTTGAGAAAAGAAAAGAAAAAAAGAAAAAGGGGAAAAATGAAGAAAATTTGAAAAATGGACATTTTTGTTTAGTTTGTTTTTTTTATTTTATTTATTTGTTTTCATTATTATTACATAGTTTTGTCATTTTGTTATTATTATCATTATTTATATTCTGTATTTATTAAGTTAAAAAAAAAAAAAAAAAGCTGCGTGCATGCAAGCTGCATTTTTTGCAGCTTGCAAAGGAACTTTGAGGCAGCTCCTTAGCTGCAAATACAGAGGAAGTTGTTAAGGGTTTAGGAGGGGGGCTCCCATATAAAAAAGCAAGAGAAGGGACAGCCGAAAAAGAGGAGAGAGGGGAGAGGATAGAAAACAACAACAAAAGGGGGAAAGATAGGCGGAGGAAAGGGAGACAAAAAGGCCGTGAGTTGAGAAAGGAAACAAAAAGGAAGGTGACGGCTGAGTGAGATTAGGGGGTAAAACCTGAGGGCTGATAACGGACTGAAACCTAGAGAAGGAGAGGTTAGAACGGCTGGAAATCTAAAGAGCAAGGGAGTGGGAAGCTTGGGAGAATCAGAGAAGGTTAACATAGAAAAACAGCCAACGTTTTTGAAATCATCAATCTGCGCGGAAGTCGAGTTGTTTCTCGACAAGGTTCCCACAAAGCTCTGCCTTTCCGATCACCTCACGTCTTGCTCCGCCTTTTAAAAGACCAAAGGTAATGCTTTTCAGTTTTTTTTTTCTGCCCATGGATTCTAAGATTTACCTCAGAAGTATTGTAGCCTTTGTCGCGATTCCTGTTTCTGTTTCCTTCCTCCCTGTGCATCCAGTTTGTGAATCTATTTGGGGGGGGGAGGGTTTCGGTTTGGCCTGAATTAGAGGATAGAGATTTGAGTTTTTTTTGTTTGATGTTCAATGGTTGTTTCTCGGGTTGTTTGAATAAGTCAATCCAGAAATGTTTTAAAAGCTGCCGACAGGCCTGTTTTGAGGTTCCTGGATTATTACTTCTTCATTTTGTCTGTGGATTTCAATGTTAAGTGAGGTAAATGGTTGGTTTCGGTCATCTATTTGGCAGTTTGATTCTCGAATCTACACATTTGATGATAAAATGGGTGGAAATATGTTAAAAGATTCTGTTTTTACTGAATTGGTTGGACCTTTGCATGTTTTGTCGAAAACGTTGATTTAAAGGTAGATGTTCATATCATGTGGTTGCATTTTTTCCCCCCTCTCCCTGTCCTAAGTTCACGCATTTGCTGTTGGGTTGATGACTGTGGAAAATCTGATTTGAATGTCGTGTAAACTAGTTAGATGTCTGCTATGTTTGGTTGCTTGGGTTATGTGGTGGAAGATATCTAAGTTGAGGTGAATGAAGTGAAAGTTTGCTGCATTTTTTCCACTGTATTCCCTTCCATGGCATTTTAATGAATCTTCACACTTAAGTGGCATGTTCAATCTGTCATTAAAGAGAAGGAATGGACAGCTTTATTAGATTGAGTTTGCATGTTTGAGTCACTTAAAACATTGGAACTAAGATCAAGCGGCCTTGCTGGAAAAATGAATGATTCAGGTTGTCAAACCATTGTCGCAAGCAAGTTTTTTTTTTTTTTTTTCAGAATTTTTGCATGATCATGTTCTAAGTTTTTTGCTTGTCAATGGTGGTGAATGCCTTGCATTGGGTCTTTGGATGACAAATTGGTAGAATTGATTTGAGTGTTTGCATGCAAAGATGGTCAAGCTAAGATAAAAGGAGTAAAAAGCTGCTGCATCTTTTTGTCTTTTTGTTTTCTTTCCCATGGTTGTTTAAGGGACCCTTACGTTTAAATTGCTTGTTAAATCTGGTTTTAAGGAGAAGGAATGGAATGATTTGATGTTAAGTTTACGTTTGAGTCCTTAAAACACTTGAGCTATGATTAAACACCATGCTGAAAAACATTTGATCAAAGCTGTGTTTTTGAATTAAAAATCTGGTCTGCGTGATGAAATGGAAGCCGCGGTTATGAAAATTGCAGAAAACCTGCGGCCCTTTTTCCTTTTTCTATAGCTGTCTTGTTGTTTAGTCTTTTACCCTTGATGGCTAGCTTCATTTCTTGTTTTAATCCTGCAATAAGAGTTGCTGTCTTTAATCCTGCAATGATGAAATGATTATGCTTAGATGAAATGTTTTTGATCAAAGCTAGGAAATGGAGATGAGAAGTGCAGCAGTTTTCTTTCTTGGTTGATGGAAGTTTAAATAGAAAGTAGTTGCAGAAATTTTCTTGTCTACGTAGCTTGCATGAGTTTTGCATGAAACAATTGCTGAAAATTGCCCTTTTAACCCCCCAAGTTTCCCCTTATTCCACTATGACCCAACCAATTGCATAATGTTTTCAATTTGGTCCTTGGCAGCTTTAATTTGGGCAACTTCATTGCAAATTTGCTTCAATTAGTTACCATGCTTTGTTTAAATTGCACGTCATACATGAATTTAGGGGCTTTATGACCAAGTGAGCTTGTGTTTGCCTATTTTCTTTAATTTTCTCAAATAAATTGGTACCTTGACCATTTCTTTTATTTTGGAGGATAAATAAGTAATTTCACTTCATTAGGGCGTCAATTCAAGGGAGGTATACTCTATCCCTCATTTGCACTTCATTTTGACCTTACGTGCTCCTACGTGTTATGTGAATATGCATGTCTATTTTGATTTTTCTTGTTTTTCCTTAATTCCTTGCATTTATTTCATTTACTTTTACTTTTATTCAAGTATTCTTTTAATGGGGTATGTGTACACCTCTTGGCTTGTAATAGATAGGGTTTGGAGGAGCATTCGATGAAGAGCTGTTGAAGACTTGTGCCTAGCTAGCAAATGTAATAGTTAGGGCCTTAATCACTTTATGTGTCTTGCATGTCTATGTGCTATATGTTTAATCGTTTTCTTAGGTTTTGGCATTTAGATATGCATGCTAAGTGTTATGTGCTATGTGATTGACATGTTTACTCGCTTTCCATATCCTTGAATGAATGTGATGGATGAATGTACGTTTCCACTAGTCCAACGCTAGTCGGAATTCATAGAATGAGCTAGTCCAACGCTAGACCCTTAGGGATTTCCCCTCGTTAGTACATGTTTGCATGTTCATTACATGTCATGCACCTTTTTTTAGTTTTATCATTTTACATGCCCCTCGAACCCTTTCCCCTTCACTTTAGGACTTGCATCTCATGCTAGTTAGGGTTCATTTGCGTGAAAATCCCCTCTCGATAAGGGAAACGAACGAGTGTGGCTACTCGATAGCCTTAGCACGCTAGTTTTACCTTCTAATCCGAGGGAAAATCAAAGTCGAAAAATTAGGTGTCATCCCCGTACCCAATTCGTTGCATTCCCTTAGGGACATACTTTCATTTTTTTTCTCACTTTCATGCATTTTTTATCACTCTTTTTCCCACATTTCTCAATCCATATTTTTCACTTATCTTACTCCACAAGTAAAACTCAAATTTCACATATATATTTATAATCCTATCTTCATTCATTTGCACACACTAATACTTTGATTTTTCATCCAAATTCACACGTGCACTTTCTTTACACACGCACACACTAATACTTTGATTTTTCATCCAAATTCACACGTGCACTTTCTTTACACATACGCACACAAACACTTTGTTTTTACACCATTTCATACATGAATCTTTTCATGCACTTGCACACTTGCACTCGAGTCACCATTTGCATCAATCGACCTCTATGAGGTTTCCCTTTATTGGCCGCCACAATTCATGTGGTCTGGGACCAAAAAACCTCACGAGAGACATCGTAGAATTTAGGATTGCATTTTCTCGTTTTTGCATTCATATAGGCATAATCCAACATGCGATACATACCCTGGGTAGAAAGTTAGGAAAGTTAGGGTTAAGTCACGCGACTAGCCTTGGCTAGGTCAAAGGGGTGCCTTGGAGTCTATCCTTGCCTTCCGCTTTGTC